GTCATAACAGATCCAAAAGTGGAGTAACTGGGAGTAATACCACAAGAGGTGAAAAGTATCTTTTAAAAATATTGCAGTAGTTAAATGGATTACAGTTAAATGGTTAAAACTGGACCCCCCTCCCAACATATATCAAGGACTGGGACAGTATGGGAAATCTACCAGATGAAATAAATAACATATGCTGTGAGACTCAAAGTAGATTTTTTTATTCAGAGGTGAAGCCCTGTCATGGCTTTGTTAGTACAGTAAAGTGACCTACTTTCTTCAACACGTTCTAAATAGCACATGTGGCTTTGTCTTCATGACTCATCCTGTCTCCAAAGCAACCACTTACACTTGCACTACTGCACGCCGTCAAACATAACTCCCTTTGCAGACCCCTGCCCCCATCCATGTTTGTTTGTTTTTTCACAGTAAGTAGTAGTAGTAGTAGTAGCTAGTTACTAAAATGGACAGGCAGAGGGTACTTGCTCTAGCTCTGGTTGAGGGTGAGAGTCTGTCAGCACAGGGAAACAGAGATCTGTGTGGGTACATGAGACCCTAATAAAGAGGGTGGATCACGGGGAGTACCACCAGTTGCTCCAGCAGCTTTGCCTTGATGATGGCCATTTCCAGACATATTATAGGATGACTATAAGGCAGTTCGACATCCTGCTGTCTATCATTGGGTCACATAGCTCTGGGTATCAAGAGAAACTGGTGGTAGCAACCGCTACCACCAGTTTCTCCTCCATTGTTTATGAACTGTAAACGTGTAGCAGTGACCACCACAGAAGGCCCACCCCTCCAGTCATCCAATTAGACAATGGGGGAAAAGGATGATGAAAAAAGAGATGATGTGGGGCGCTTCATCGCTCTGAGTTGACGTTTTTTCAACTCGAGGAGTTCAGAGCACTCCAGCAAAAACGCCAGGCACCACGAGCACAGAAACATGAAGCGTGTTGCAATTACAAAAAGTCGCCTCCAGTTGCTAAAACACCTTCTGTGTGATCAGGGCCTAAATTCCTCCCCGGTGCTTAAAAAAATTATTTGATATACTTCCCCCATTTTGCATTAACCCCTTCCCCCCATAAGTAAAGGACAGTCCCTAATCTGTGTTCCATGTCTCTTCTTCTGCCTCTGTGTTGTGTCTCTGTTTACCTCTCTGTTAGCTGCAGCCATCGCCAGTGTCATTGGATTTATACTTCTTCTAATCGCTGTCATTCTGCTGGCCCTCTGTAAACCAATCTGGAGGAAAGGTAAATAAAAGTCCATTAATCATGCTCTCATTTTGTGGAAAAGCTCTGATTATGTCTACATTATGCTTATCTACAAGCTGAATTACAAAATGATAATGACCATTATTTGTCAACATCTTTATCAGTGACTGTTTGTCTCACATTTTCACAACTTTACTCAACGTGCACTTTGCTTTTTTTGCCCAGACGGCGCAAGATTTCACCCCAAAGTAGATGCAAATGGAAATTGTGAGACTGGTGATAAAGTGAGTCTTGATTCTTCCTCTTGAATACCTTTTAAATATAGTTGTAGCCACACAGAACACTGAGAATCAACCTTTTCATGTCTTTCTACTGCAGATCAATCTTGGTTATTTGGGGGAAACACAGCTGACTTCATTCACAGTAAACTCGCCGGAACAACAGTGTCTGCTGCAGAATGGGGAAGTCTGCAGTGACCACAGTCAGAGCAGTAACAACACTGAAACTTTAACCAGGACAGACGGCTGCAGCAGCGAGGAGTCCATTGGCCCTTTGTTATCCACCGTAGCTCTTCCCAATCCCCTCTCCGCTCTGTCGGAGCCCATGACATTACTCTCCAACACAGAGCCCATCAGCCCCCAGCTCAGCGTCCCCACACAGATCTCCTCTCAGCCCTCCTCTCAGCCCACCAGCCCACAGGTCATCAGCCCCGTCACCCCCAGTCCCCACGTCAACGTCAACATCACTTTCAACATAGCAAACGGGACTTGTGGGGCACCGACTGTCACGCCCACAGACTTGATGCAGGTTGACTCTAAACTCCCCTTTGGAGAGAAAGAGGAGTCGTTTAGCATCCCACAGCAAGAGGCTGGCAAACAATCACTGATATCAGTGCAGGAGAGTGAAAGTTACAGTGCGTGAAGACCACCTGCATCAAAGACTGATACATCCATTTGTTATTTCTTTCTGTAAACATTGAAAATAATCTGACTACTGGCTACAAGATGCACTTTGTTTTTTATGAGCACAACAAACCAAGCTTGAACCTTAATGCTGTTTCAATATCAAAATCATGAACTGACGCTGTGTGTTTATATGTATATAGTAAATAAAGAAGTTGGATTATGCTTTAATTCTTTAAGATTTCATACATCGTCATACTTTAATGTTGTGTTTGGAAGTCAATGGTGGCAGAAGTGTTCAGATCTTTTACTAAAGTAAATAAGTATCTAAAATGTAATCTTACGTAAAGATCCAGTGTGTGGGATTAAGGGAAATATATTGGCAGAAATGGGACATAATAAGTATGTTTTCTTTAGTGTTTAATCACCTGAAAATAAGACTTGTTACCTTAGAATGAGCCGTTAATATCTACACAGGGAGCTGGTCCTCGTCTATGGAGATCGCCATGTTGCACCACCATGTTTCTACAGTAGCCCAGAACAGACACACCAAACACTGGATTTAAATGGGTCCATTTGCATTTTTTGTGTCAGCCACCGCAGTTAGCAGCCCCTCTGTGATAAGAGCGTCAGAAAACACACTTTTTTTTTTTTTACGTGAAACTGCTTTATTCAGTGTTTTTACCGGTTTAAATCACTTGGTGTGTATTCAGAGGAGAAGAGATGTCAGATAATTTGACTTCTGGAAAAAAACTCATAAACATCTGAATCTTAAGTTATCAGAAAAAGAAGGTGAGCACACATTAGTGGGTGCTACGCTAGCGACCTGTTTTCGACATGGCAAACTCTTTGTATTATTTGTGTGAGTGTGAATGTGAGTGTGTGTGTCTGTAGTTGTTTTGCCTATTTCTGAAATCATTTTGAGTCCTTTGTAGATATATAATTTATTTTTAGTTGCTTTGTGTCCCTTAGTAGTCATTTTGAGTCTGTAGCCATTTAAAAAAAAAATTGTAGTCATTTTGAAATGAATTTCTTTATAGTTGCTTTGTGTCTCTTTGTAATTGCTTTGTGTTTCTTCACGGCCATTTTGAGTTTCTTTGTATTTGCTTTACGTCTCTTTGTAATCACTTTGAGTCTTTTCAAAGTTGCTTTGTGTCTCTTCATGGTCACTTTAAATCTCTTTAAAGTCATTTTTGAGTGTGTTTCTAGTCATTTTATATCTTGTTGTCGTCATCTTAATTTCTTTGTAGTTGCTTTGTGTCCCTTAGTAGTCTATTTGAGTCTGTTTGTAGTGGCTTTGCATCTCGCTGTAGTCATTTTGAGTCAGTAGTCATTTTAAATCTTTTTGTGGACATTTTGAGTCAGTAGTCATTTTAAATCTTTTTGTGGACATTTTGAATTTTTTCATAGGTGCTTTGTGTCTCCTCACAGCCATTTTGAGTTTCTTTGTATTTGCGTCACATCTGAATGTAGTCATTTTGAGTCTGTTTTAAATCTCTTTGTAGTCATTTCGAATTTCTTTGTAGCTGCTTTGCATCTTCTTGTAGGCATTTGTGTCTCTTTGTGATTGTATTTCCCCTTTTTAAGGCTATGTTCTGAGTCTCTTTGCTGCTGTTTTGCGTATCTTTGTCGTCTTTTTTGCATCATTGAGGACTTTTTGCATTTCATTGTAGTTGCATTGTGTCCCTTAGTGGTCTTTTTGAGTCTGTTTGTAGTGGCTTTGCATCTAGTTGTAGTCATTTTGAGTCTGTGGTCAGTTTTAATCTTTCTGTGGTCATTTTGATTTTTTTCATAGTTGTTTTGTGTCTCTTTGCGGCCATTTTGAGTGTATTTGCATTTGCTTTAGGTCTCTTTGTAGTCATTTTGAGTCTGTTTGAAGTTGCTGTGTGTCTCTTCGTGGTCATTTTAAATCTCTTTAAAATAATTTTGAATTCTTTGTCGTTACTTTGTGTCTTCTTGTAGGCATTTGTGTCTCTTTGTGATTGTTTTCCCCTTTTCACAGCCGTTGCGAGTCTCTTTGTGTCTCTTAGCTGCTGTTTTGCATGACTTTGTAGTCTTTTTGTATCAGTGAGATCTTTCGGCATCTCACTGTAGTTGTCTTGTGTTTGTTCGTGGTCATTTTGAGTCACTTCTTGGTCGGTACATGTTAATTTGAGTGACATTCTGCAGGTGAAGGCCTGTGCCCATTCACTATTCCATCCAGGCATCATGTTTAAGACAACACACACACAAAAAACTGTCAGTGATTTTAGCAATGTTGTGACTCACAAAAGGGAGACTGAACAAAGAGTCAAACCAGGAATATAGATTTTATGGCACATACTAACCTGTGTTTCTCCCTCAGCTCTTACAAGGAGCCTCCTCCACCTGTGGTGGGAGGAATTTTCTGCGGACGCTCCTGACACCTGCTGGTTGAAGGCGGACACTGCAGCCTGTGGAAGCCGCTCTCCTTCGGCTCATAGAGACGTTTCAGTGAACAGAATCAGTCCATTTTGATGGCAACTCCTACACTTATTACATTTTATCAAGCCAAAGAGTTTCTTACACGTGTCCAGTCGCAGTTCGTGTATTTTAACGTGTTTATTTGTTGTCAATCAAGGTAGCTAAGCAGCGATGCTAACCGGGAGAACAAGGGGTGAGGAAGTCTGAGCCACTTCATTATCAGAGGGGGGTAAACTTTATATTGTTGTTTATTTGAAGCCTCGTATTCGCTTATGAAATCATTTAAATCCCGAATTCACATTATAATTAACTCTTATTCCATTTCGTTGCGGATTCATAGACGAACTACGCGTATCTTGTAAATATTATGTATGATAACTCCCCCTATCGCTCAGCGCAGTTGGTTGGGTCTGTTGCCGCTGTGTGCTGCTCTCCTTCCTGAAAGACACTTGCATTGGAGCCGCGGATGTCGCTGCAAACAGGCTGGTAAGTTAAAGCCCTTTTCTCTATTCCTGTCCACGTCTTCGATTATTTATTGTCATAGTCACATATCGTCACCCCTCACATGCTTCTCCCAACTCCACCTTTTTTAATATGTTGCTTATTAAAGTAGTTTTGCCCCATTTTCTGTGCCCCCTCTCATCCTCCCCGCTGAGGTTGGTGGTGTCGTGGTCCTGGTCGGTTATGTTTACAAATCCAGCTTCCTAGCAATGTGAAGCAAGCCAGTTAAATAGCATGCATGCTAAGATACAGCACACATGTTGGCTCGACAGGTTGTGGTGGATGGTAAGAATTAAAAAAGCTCAGTCAGGGCTGTTGAAGCCTCTCTTTATAAATGGGGATTTAAAAGGAAGCTTCCTAACACCGGGGTGGGAGTAAGACAGCAGCGGAGATGATAGCGCTGCAGGTGTTTCTCTGTTTCCCTGTTGGTTGGTGCAGACAGTTTGCTGTGGAAATCAACAGATCCTCCACAGTTAGAGGGGGAAAGGGGTGTAGCAAGGTGAGGAAGTGTTTCTGATAAATGCATGAACAAATCCAGGTTTTTCCTCAGGTAAGAAAGTGAAACTACATTGCATCTGCTCTCTTGTGAAAGATGAATACAATAAATGGAGTTTAATGCTTTTGTTAAGAGGCATCAAGAACAACCTAGGACATGTTGCAGGTCATGTCTGTGTTAAAAGGTTGTGCTGGTTTTAAGATCATTTGATCAACAACACTTACTGTAAGTAAAAATGCTGCCAGATAGGGCGGTAACTAATTATTATTTTCATTAGTCATTAATCTGATGAGTTATTTCTCATGCACTGAATCATTTGGTTATCATCATCTGGAAAATGTATTGTGAGTGAGTGTTGTGAAAACTCAAATATTCCCAGAGCCCGAGGAGACATCTTCAGATTGGGTGTTTTGTTCATCCAACAGTCCAAAAATGCTTAGAAAACTAGCAAATATTCAGATTTTACACGTGAATTTTTTGGCATTTTTGCTTCAAAAGTGAAAGTCAGGTATGACAGCCTAACCGAAATAACAGTGAGTAAGATTATTTATAACACAGGCTGTCATTTAAGTCCATTTTGTTAATGAGTAACCAGAAAAATCCATTCCTGTTAATAATTTTTATGTCATAAATGCACCAGCTGCATAGTAAAAGATTGTTGCTATTTGTCATATTCCAACAGTGACAATAAAGAAGAAATCCCAAGATTCCTGAAGATCTCGTCAACTCCCACATGGCAGTAAACCACTCCCTTGAAGATTAAACCAAGTGTATTCAGCCCCAGAGCGTTACCCTCGTAGATGCCGCTCAGTCTCCGTCTTTGCAAATGGCTTGCTGCTTGAAGGACGAGCTCCTTTGTTCCATCTGCCTCAGTATCTACCAGGACCCCGTCAGCTTTGGCTGTGAGCACTACTTCTGCAGGAAGTGCATCACCGAGCACTGGAGCAGGCAGGAGCTTCACGGAGCGCGGGACTGCCCCGAGTGCCGGAGGACCTTCACCGACCCCCTCCTCTCACCGAGTCTCAAGTTGTCCAACATTGTGGAGCGCTACTCGGCCTTCCCACTGGACGCCATCCTCAACGCCCAGAGGAGCTCCTACCCCTGCAAGGACCACGAGAAGGTCAAGCTTTTCTGCCTCACTGACAAAAGTCTGGTGTGCTTCTTCTGCGACGAGCCGGCGCTACACGAGCAGCACCAAGTAACCACTATTGACGAGGCTTACGAGGAGATACAGGTCAGTTATGGCACGCACACGCTCTGACAGCTCATTAGCAAGGGTGAGGCTGACATTTTCTTAAAACCCATCAGCGCTCTGCACCACATTCAGGCAGTTGCACTCATTCGCCCCGTGGGAGCTGCCCAGACAGTTCAGCCTCAGTCCTCTGCTACCACAGAGCAGCTCTACTGAAGCAGTTTGGGGATTTTGTGCTTTGCTCAGGAGTACTTTGGGTGCAATAGGTGCTGAGGAGTGAAACATATCCAATTTACTTTTCCCTCCCTGATGCCCAAATTACTTGGCTTATCTGTGAGGTCAGTTGGGTGTCATTCCTACAGAGGCAAGGGTTCTTTACATAGGAGTGAACCTGCCTTCATATTGCCTGCAGAGGTTATTTTAGATGACTAAATCCTGTAAATGATTCAGAAAATGTGCAAGAACACATACAGCACTGATTATAGTGATGCACTGTGTTCGACAGTGTTAGATTGTCATAGTGTTCTTGGTGCATTTTAGATCAATTAAATGAATTGCGTTGTCTGAGTGAAGTGATTTTGCCTCAGCAGGTAAGGTAACGCAAGTGCACGAGCAGATGCAAAGTGTTTGTTGAAATGAGACTGAAAAATTGATCCACAAAGTTCATATCAATAACAATTTTTCATGACTGCAACTTTGTAGATATAAACTTCCTTGCAAAGTTTATTTTAATGTGTCATGTGTGTTTACGCTGAGTCATATTTTCCACATTAACAGGAATGGTTCAGTGTTTGCTCTCCTCTCTGTGTTTGGATAATTCCATTCCCACGGAGCCAAAATCCAATAACTGTGAAACAAAGCTCCTAATCCCGTTCCTCCTTTGCTCCAGTATGCAAGGAAACACATTCCAGTCTCACTTTATGTAGTCTGCCTCATTTCTTAAATCCGCTGTTGCCGATGTAGATATTGAGATCTGTTTTATGTAACATGAAAATATTTGGTTTCCAGTTTTTTTGGCAGACAGCAAGGTGAACTTTCTGATAAGACACAGTCCAAAGTTTTGATTGGTAACACTCAGTTATGCAGCTTTGAAGGGTTTACGTTTGTTGCAGCTCAGACCAACACTGTGGCCACGTTGGATGTCACGCTGACATCATGTGTGATTTAGGTTTCACAGTTTTAGTGATTCATATCGTTGAGGTTAATGCAATACTATCATCTTTGCAGCAGGTCTGCATTTTTAAAATGCCACAGACACTGTATCTGTGTATCTGTTACATTATAAGTCCTTCTTTGCTGCAGAGACTGTATCAATGATATTGACTATTCATGACACTGACCTCTTACACCCTTCTGAAAGTGCATCTTTGACACCGGCAAGCTCATTTTGCTTTCACTGCTCTGAATCCGTGAGCAGGTTCATGGGGAGACTGCAGCTGAATTACAAACTCCATCCGATGCAGAAACAGTGAGACAGAATTGATGAATGAGGCTAAGAATGGACAAAATTTACAGACCTCGGAAGCTGACACAATCTCTGATTTTTCAGAGATTCTGAGGTCTGGTGTTTGAAAACAACAGAGCCTATCAGAGTTTTGTAAATTGGATTAAGTAGCGAGGACTCATCTTTCTTTGCCAGAGCCAGTAAAATGGCGACAAGTGTGAGTGAAATTGTGCAGCTATACAGGTGCTCTGATCAGCTGTTACTGCAGCTTGCATGTTGACTTTAAATTAAGTGCACTTTACCTGCTTATTGGTCATTTATCTAAACTGCTGATTGCACTAGATTTATCTGATAACATAACCGGTATCTTTGCACACTGTGTACATAAGGCCCATCACACAGACTCTTACTTACTCTGTAAACTCTGTTGTGTGTGATTTTGTGTATCTGTATATTTGTTCAAATAAGTATTTGGCTGCTGGAAAGATGGTCTTTTGATACAACTGGGCCGTCTATGCCGTAAAAAGACACAAACACTTTTGAAATTGGTGCCACATGAGAGGAAACAGAGGAAAAGGGATGCGGCATTCGCTTCTGCTCAAGAGGTAGAAAACCAACAAATACCAGAATGCACAGCACTGGGCCCACAAAAGCTCCCACCAGTGGGTGATGTAATTCAAACTTGGCCATTTTGACTCAGGAAACAATATAGTAGCCAGCTGGTAACACATGATCTCGAAACACAGTTAAACAGTAAGCTGTTTTAGGCGAGAAATGGGCAACACAGTAACAGAATCTTGGTTTATATTTGATCAACACTGCTTAGTTTTACCATTTGATCTGAGTCTGAGACAGAGAGAAGGAGAAAGAGAGGGGTGGGTCTCTCTCGATCCACTTCTGTACTCTTTGGGTTCATGGTGGCAGGAATACAAAATTGTGGAAGTACAATCTGTAGTTTGGGCAGCAGCCCTAGAGCCAGCAAAACATATCTTGCGCCGGATTTGAGCAGAGAGATGACTGGGAGATCTGTTTGCTGGTGAGATGGAAAAAAGAGAACCATATTCATTCACACATAATATCCACATTGTTGTGATACAACGCTGATGGGAAAGTGTCCCTTTTAAGTATTTGCAATTATTTTGCACTGCTTTTTTTATCTTCTTCAGCTCTCCAATCTTATTTTTCCATTTTAATACCATATTATTACAAAAATCGGCACTTAAATAAGTAAAATAAAATGGCAATTCAATCTGATTTTTAGGGATGCTTCAACTGGATTATAACCAAAGAGCTTTATTGAGGTGGTCGTGAGGAGATAATTAAAAAACATAAAGTACAATTAATTCAATTAGTAGATTACATGTAAACATAGCGAGGCAGTTAGTGAGTAGTACAGAGCTACAGCGGTGCCCTTCTGTGTTCTGCATTGAATATAATTAACAGTGCTGTGAACATCAATGCTGTCCTCCTTAATTTCCAATCAGGCTCTGCACTGGAAGCCTGAGAAAGGTCAAAACCGTGTAATCTTGGAGCAGAAGTAATTAGGCCCAGCACAAGATGTTTCTCTTTTCTTGGACACCAGCTTGTCCCTCTGCTCAGAGCTCTTTTCAAGGCTGCGTTTTGGCATTTTGTATTCTGGCAGGAGCTTTGGAGACTTCCCAGATCTCCAATGCTGAAAGAGAGTATGAGCACACAGAGGCCCCAATCGGAAACAACCACGTCCCATGATGAGCTCTGGCATACTCGCCTTTTTAGATCTACAAGTGGTTTGTTACGTAACCTCTCGTCGTCTTATCAGACATACACAAACATCAGAGCAGCAGGCAGCAGATGGCGTTACAATAATTTTCTGTCACGTTTGTTTGAGATCACACATTAAATTATATTAGGAATGTGTCTCCTATAACTGTGAACGTTATTTTCTGAGTTGAGTAGCCCATGTAAGTAACACCACTGTGATATTACCCAATTTACAAGTTAGCTTATCATTTCTGTTTTCATTCCAGAGAGCAGACAGGAGCTGTGTGTCAGATAGAAACAAACGTGTGAGAGCTGTGCCCGCAGGCACAAACTTCACTTTTGGCTTGCTTGAATAAAGTGCCAAAACAACATGGCAAGGATGTGTTAAAGTGCAGCAGCAATCAGCTCCAGTGTTTTGACTATCTGGGCCAGAGCTGTACATGCCGTGCCAGCTTAGTGGCCTCTTTTAAAATGAACCTTAGAGTTTTTGTAGGGTGGGAAAGTTTGTAAATGAGGAGGGAAAGGATTTGGTAGCTGGAGAGCCAAAGCTTGTGTTTTTTGTGCTGAATTGTTTGACACTTTGGCACATGGGATTCGGGATTGGCGTAAGCTCCCTCTGCTTCTCTGTGTCTATATGTTGCTGTCTCCTCTGCCTCTGTTAGCGTGATATAACTCATCATCTGTGTGGTTCGGCAGAACTGTGCCTCGTCTGTCAGAGGAGCTCACAAAGAGGGGGAGGAGAACTTTTGCAATCTGCTTAAAATTGCCAAATATTCTGTGAGGAGTCATGATTTTGTTCTATGGAAAAGCCAAGAAAAAAAAAAACATATACACACACACAGATGTATGAGTAATAGTGTTTCACTATTACTGTCCATTTTCCCAGCAGTGTTTGCTTTTAAGTTACGTCATCCTCTCACCCCATCGGCTGCTAGAGGAGCAGGATGACACAGACAAGTCCTTTATCACTGTGTTGTTGTTCACCTATATATATCTTCAGACAGCATCATAATTAGTGTTTCACAATCAGAGCTACAAGGATGACTAAATCAAATTCAGAAGACATAATAAGGGCTGGGGATCGTTTAAAAGATTAAGATACCAGTACCACTGAAGTGATACCTATACCAAGAGAGTACCTCATTTAATACCTATAATGTAAGTGGAGTGGCGTGTTGTGTAGCCATACTTTCAGACGTTTTAGTGACGTCTCAGCAGCCAGCTGTGTCAATACATCATGCTCGACCTCACCACAGAATGTATGGGTTGTAGCCGCTGTATAGTTTTACTGAAACGCATGAACCCACCCCTGCCATCCACCATGATGAAACACAGAAACGTCACATAGTCCGTCGTGATCCAGATCTGCTGTGTGTCGGCCAAATTATCTGAATTTCCTTGGTGATAAATGTTATCTCTGTAAATACATCATCTCATGATGTGTGACTTACATAAGCTTAAATTCACTGTTACAACACATTTCAGTATTTGAAGCCTCAGATTTGATATTCTCAAACAGACTGGGTTCCCAGAGGGTTTAGATATACAACACACTTGTGTTATGTCATGGCACCACGTTGTCAACTATGTGTTGACAGTGTGTTTGGCTGGCCAGTGTCCACTGACGAGGGCAGCCTTTGGTTGGTCTGTGGCGGGCTGTAATCTCCTTAGCCTGGCATGTCACTGCGCTGACCTCAGGCCCTGAGTCTTGTTGCTGTGTCGAGAGCTTTACCTCCCGCTGATTTGCATCTTTTCCCCCCCGTAAACGCTCCTGCGGCCAAATTTGTAATGCACAAACACTTCCAGTACCCGACTGTTGCAGGGTGACGCACGCACATTTGGCAAACAGTCACCCAGC